GGCATACTAAAGATTTTATTTACATGTCGTCTGATTCCTCCTATCAGAACATGAGGGCAAAGATTTTTGTCCATTTTGTTTACCCCTGAACCTTCAGCCACTGAGGTATAGTGGCTGGTGCACAGTAGGCACTCAATGTATCACTGTTGAATGGATTGATTGGCCTCAGGCAGGAGAAACGAGAGGGATCTTAAAACAAAATCATCTTCGTCTGCTTAGCATTGGCATCAAGCATTAAGGGAAGGAGATGAAATAAAAATAACCCAAATTGCCACAGTATCCCAGCAATTCTGAGATTCCCCAAATCCATCAACCAAAAATTCTACAAACCCTGGAGACTTGCCTGAGGTACATATGTCACCACCAAGTGGGTGTCTGTCCATTTGCAGACCCATGCACTCCACCCTCTGAGAGCATACGCGGCCACATCTTAGATACACACTCACTTCCTCCAAGTGTCCTTTTCACCCAGTCACCCTGGATGTGTGTTTTGGGATGAATCGCGTCCCCGTAAAATTCATATGTTAAAGTCCTAACCCCCAGTACCTCAGAATGTGACTGTATTTGGAGAGAGTGTCTTTCAAGAGGTAATTAAGGTAAAATTATTTCATCAGGATGAGCTCTCATCCAATATGACTGATGTCCTTCTCAGAAGAGAGTAGGACATAGACACACACATAAGGAAGGCCACGTGACTACACGGGGAGAAGACAGCCATCCACAAGCCAAAGAGAGACCTTGGAAGAAAACGACCCTGCTGACACCTTGACCTCAAACTTCTCGTCTCCAGAACTGGGAGAAAATAAATTTCTGCTGTCTAATCTCACAGTCTGTGGTCCTTACTATGACTGCCCAAGCAAGCTAATACAGTGTGAAAAATCCCAAAGGGAAACATGTTTTTGTTAACGATATCTCAGTAAACCGTGTGGTAAATGTAACAGTGTGGACATCAAGGAAGGAATGGAAAAAAAGAAAAACAAACAAAGGCATAATGTGTTGACATTTTTTATATTTGGTATTTGTAAGTCTTTTTAAAAAAAATTTTTCAGGCCATTTTTTTCTTAAAAAATAAACGAAAGCAACCAACAGCAATACTCTGTACAAGTATAACAAACATTAGAAATATGCATCATTCCAAAATAGTTACAAGAAAATTACAGTTTTAGAGTCTACATCAACACATCCTATCCACATGTGCCCCATGGGGAAAAAGGCTACAGTATGTTGGACACTCGATTACTCTGTATAGTCTGAAAACTCAGAACCTGGACTTTTGAGGCAAATCAACATCACTCACCAAGTCTTTAGCTCAATAAGCACAATCAAGCATTTCAAAAGGAAACCAGGCTTTTTCATCCCAGATGAAAAGCAAACGTGAATCAGCTGCAAAGGGGGCCCCCAAACCCCAGGAGCTTCTGACGTGATGAAGCCCAGATCCAGTGGGGCTGAAGCCTAGCTGGGGGTCACTCCATGGCCACCGGGAATGGACCCCAGATGTCGTTTCCTCTTGGCGCAAGTCATCATTAGATTTAACTTTGGAGGCAAAATGGCCAAGCTCTGGCGAGAAGAGATCGATGGCCCAAATCTCCCAAACACTGACCACTGATCTTTAGCCCATTCACCACCCACTGATCCTGCCCTGTCTGCTTCTCTGTATGGAACTGTCAAATACTAAAGTGGGGCAACCACACTGTCTCCACAATTCCACTGCATCCTCACGTTTCAGTTCCTTGTTCCTGGGAGGGTTTGGGGCAGGAGCTCAAAAGCACCTTCCTCTTTCCTATGACCAACCGCCGGCCCATATGTCCCTTGTATTTACACATTAATCTTCCCTTTTTGATCACTGTGCTATAAATACCCTCAGCGCCCCACTGGCCCCACCCCAGGCTGTCTTCCCTGGGCATCTTCGGGATGCACAGAAGCATCGTGACCTTTGTGTGACCTGCCACTTGGAATCCAGACAACATCCGGGAGTGGCCCATTTCCCAAGCCCACACCAGACAGAAAGGAGAAGGGTTTCTGTTTTCTGAGCTTTTATGCTTTATGTTTATAATTATTGTTTTCATTAATTTTAAAGACAATTTTAGAGCCAAGTCCTTCCCTCCCACTTCATGGCAGCGATGACTGCTATGCAGGGGACAGCATTTTCCCGGGATTTGACAACAAGACACCCATCACAATGGTTTCCTGACAAACTGGAGCGAGAAGGGGTGTGGCCCACAGAACAGCTACCTGAACAGGGACCTCAGAATGAAGTTCTGGAACTCTCCAAGGTCTGTCTGCTTTGAGGGGCTGAAGAGTGTCAAGATTTGGAGGCAATCCAGCCAAAACTAGCTGCGCTCACACCCCGGGACGGTGTGGCTTCCCTGATTCC